GGGTGCCTAATATATGGACGGATTATTTGTTTCATTCATATAAACGGTCTATGGTTTGGCAACACAGCGGAAATGCGCGCAGCCTGAGTGCAGAAAACGCCTCTGTCTGTGCGGGTAACACATAGAACATAGGTAAATAAGAAGGTGCAGCGTTTGCAAGCAATGTTATCAGCGCACTCAAACAGTTTATCGCCGTGTGATAAAATAAGTTCTGATGCTAAATAAACATTAGTGAGGGGATACGTCTTACCCATTTGTGTAAATGACGAGAAGAAGAAACGTCTCAAACTTCAGTAGCCGAACATCCACTCATACCTGATTGATACAGCAATCCCCGACCCCGGGAGAACCTGAAATCTGCAGAAATCCTCCAAGACACTGACACGATACAGACAGAACAGACTCTTTCTGCAGGAGACATGTGCACTAGAGCACAGGGAGAGACGCACCGAGGAAGATGCTGTTTGATTGTGTTTTGAGCAGTTATTTTTCGCTCATGGAAAACACATGAAGAAATGCAGACGATTTGATGATGGCAGCGATTGATGTGTCTGTAGAAGAAGTAAACAGAGCTGCTGCACGTGAGCTCAGCATCAGTTAGTCGATGGTGAGATTTTGGCGACGGCAGCGTGACGAACTGACTCAACGCAAAAAGACGATAAAAGCTTTCGGAGTCGATAAAAGCAGACGGCCCGAACTTGAAAACGTTCTTGAAGATGTGGACACCTGCAGCTTATATTCAGGTTCATGTACAATTTAAAAATTTAGTTAAAATTTTGTGCAGAAAGAACAAAAATGTGGCTGTTTGCTGCAGGTGTTCTAATCAGTAGGAGCAAGTAGAGGGTGCTCTTGGAAAAAGGATCAAAACTCAAACACAACGGATTCCAGGCACTCCAAAAAAGTAGAAAAAGTTAACACATCGCACGAGGAAAAATGTAGTTAAAAGGCCTCTATTTAAAAGGCCAAAGCCAACATGTTTCGACCTTAACTCAATTAAGCCCTGATGAAGACCAGATAAGGTTGAAACATGTTGGCTTTGGCCATTTAAATAGAGGCCTTTTAACTACATTTTTCCTCGTGCGATGTGTTAACTTTTTCTACTTTTTTGGAGTGCCTGGAATCCGTTGTGTTTTAGTTAAAATTTTGTTGATGCGGCGTATATTCAGGGACGCTTAAAAGTCCAGAAATTACAGTAAAAAATGTTGAACCTTGTCATTTTGATTAGTGACTAGACCCAAGAACTGATTGTATGACAAAGAAAATCTGCATTTCAACAATATTCACTTTAGCTGTATTAAATAATATTGGCCTATAGAATCCTGGAATGTCTTCTCAAACCCAAACAAATAACCCTAACAAATACCAATTCTATCGTTCTTGTTAGACATATCACAATGCATTACTTATTATGTGACTGTGACTATAAATCAGACATCACACTGTTGCACAACCCGCACAGGAAATGCAAGTGTGTTCAAGGGTTACCAATCACTCAACACAACTGTACTTGTCACATATGGGACTTTGACACACAAGCTCTCAGTCCTGTGCTCCAGTCATCAGTCTGTGGTCAATGATTCATGATTCTTTAGTACGTACAATTCTAAACGTTTAACAGTTACATTGTCCATTAACTTATGTAACACGCACTGACTTAAAGGGCGTGTGTTATGTTATTCTCTGGTGTAATGTAGTTTCCTCACCTAAACTTATCTGGAGTTGTGTTTTGTTTCATTCACACATGTTTAACACACAAACCCTGCAGATTTAGACTGAGATCTTCTCTCAAACAGAAACATGTGATGTCCTGTGGTAATACGGGACGTTCTCCACTGTGTTTTTAAACTTTACATATATTCACTAGAATAGTCTGGATGATTTCAAACCTAGAATTGCCCATTTTTAGCTGTTAACCTAAAAACTACCACTACATGACATCACAAGTTGTAATAGAGCATTTTGAGCTTTGGAGATGTAGAGAGACTAATAATAAAGGATTACTCAAACATGTAAATGAAACAAAACACAACTCCAGGTCTGTTTTTGAGGAGGTAACAGCATTGTAACTTGGCTTTAATCTCACAAGAGTCCATTTTTCATAGTCTACGACCTTTAAACCTAAACGAATTTAAATATTTTTTAAGCCATGTTTTAACACATTTCTCAAAAATATTGAGATACGCATTTATGCCTATATCACCCTGGAAACCTTGAATCATGGAAACTGTCTGATCTCGCAGCATTAGGATTTGTTCGCTTGACTGTAGGCAGGTACTTTTTTTTATTTAACCCATTGCTGCTATTTGGGGCGTGGCATATGTAATGCACCAGATCCTGTAGGAAGAAGAATGCCTTTCCCCATGATGAAATTCACCAAACATTCTCTTTGTTCCGGCTTTAAATCCTCGATCTCGGGAATTGTTGCCAACACAGAATGTCTGTCTTCGTCTACATCCATCTCAACCGCTTTGTTTACTGTTGTGCTGTTCCACAAAAGGGACCCAGACAGGCACTTGAGTTTGACGTCATGGCTTCACAGCTCACAGCTGATTGGCCGGTGCACGGTCTACAACTTCTGGGGTATTCTGATTCCTGACCTAGTTGCTGGAGAGAAATGAAATTGAGCAAAGGCACTAGGTGGCACCAGCCTGGCTAATATGACCCATAGCCATAAGATATAAACAGAAATTAATTCACAGCACACTAGTATCAATACTTCAAGTTAGTATTTTGCATTACATTAATGGGCCAAACCAGTATAAATAAAGATCCTATAGTATGTTAAATTCGCTGTTGCAAACTTTTAATCCAAGTTAAAATGTTTCCTCCTCAAAATCATACCTGGAGTTGTGTTTTGTTTCATTCACATTTTTGAGGGATTCTTTATTATTAGTTGGTCTACATCGCCAAAGCTCATGATGCTCTGTTCCAACTTGTGAAGTCATGAAGTGGTAGTTTTCAAGTTAACAGCTACCTTTTACCTTTTGTTCTGTACAGACTGGCAATTCCAGGGCTGAAATCATTCAAATGATTATAATAAAGGTGTATGGCGCTTAAAACTACAGTGGAGCACTTCCTGTATTACCACATGACATCACAAGGTGGAACAGAAAGAATGTTTTTTGTTTGAGAGATAAACTCAGCCTCAATATGCAGGATTTGTGCGTTAAACATGAATGATTGAAACGAAACACAACTCTACGTATGTTTGTGATGAGGACACAACTTTATAACATCGATCAGAAAATACAATATGTGCCCTTCTAAACAAAACAAAAACAGTTTCATAAAAATATTATCTTTATTTGACCTCTGCACACTCTCTGTTCGTAATAATAGGTGAGATTACAATCAGATGTCGTGATTTATTTGTGTTGGTGAATTCTTTTCCTTCTCCCCCATCACGGCCTTTTCTATGTTACAGTAGAACCAGACGGACAGGAAAAAGCACATCCTCCTCTGCCTCCTTCTTCCTCTTCAAACAAAAACCTTGAGGTGTTTTTGTATTCAGACAGAAATATCCTAACAAAATACCATATTCAAATCGACCTGTCCTTGATTCAACCGCACGAGCTCACGATACTCAGACCGGCCTTGTCACCGCAAAACTATGAAATATTTTTCCTTTCGGTTGCTTCTCATGGTAGATTTCAACTCCATGTACTTTCGTTATAAAAAGAATAGACTATACATAGAATTGGGCTTTCAAAAATACATACCCATACTAATTCATGCTAAAAGTTGTATTTAAACACACTTTACACATTTGAATAATTATCAAAAATGGTAAAAAAAATAAACAAATAAATAAATCAATAATAGTCTAATAGAACACTCTATAATTAGATGCAAACAGACATATTTTGATCTCAAGTTGTTTATATAATATATCAGAAATAATAATAAAATTGGGTTCATGCCTGAGCGGAAAAGCTAGCACGTTTAGAATAAGAATCAACACTCGTTTTAAAAAAAATGCAAAATAATAATAAAAATCTAAACAGAAACACATTTTTGACTTTTCCTGATTAGCATAAAAGTGCTGTATCTGATTTTTTTTTTTTCTGTCTTATAAATGTGAAAAACGGCTTGTTTTGCGCAACTTTGGCCTGAGCAGAAAAGCTAATAACAACTAGCATGCTAACACGCACTTCCTAATTACGGGACAGTAAAACACTTTAATTCAATTAAAGTTAAAACATTTAATTAGATGCAAACAGCAGACATATTTTGACCTCTGTTTATATAATATATTAAAAATAATAAAACTGGATACAGGCCAGAGCGGAAAAGCTAACAACTAGTATGCTATCAAAACTAATAATAATCATCATCATCTTAACCGAAACAAGTTTTTGACCTTTGCTGAAAACTCTAAAGGTGCTGTACCTGATTTTTACTGTCTTCAAAACATGAAAAAAACAGAACTAGTTCATTTTTAACACTTTGCAGTGGTCCAAAGTTCTTCCTTACTCACCTTATGAATTCAGTTTCAGAGGCCAGAACGGAAAAACTAACAACTAGTATGCGAACACATACTTCCTGATTGTCTGACATTGAAATGCTTTATAATTAGATGCAGACAGAACGCAGTGGACGTATTTCGACCTCAAGCTGTTTGTAAATATCACGAATATATCTGTACGGAGGCAAAAAATTGCATATGGCTTTAAGATTGTTTTGATCTGTATTAGAACTAGACCACCTGATGATATTGAGGAAACTATTACTTTGTGCTGAAAATTACAATCTATTGTGTGTATATATGTAAAAATAAATGTATTTTATAATGACTGTTGCATGGAACTCAGTATTCAGTATCAATCTTTTTTGGTTTGATAGAAATATAGAAGACTAATAATGACTTTGATTTTAATTTAATGACTTTGAATGATTTTTTTAAATATTTGTCCATAATCCTTCTTAACTGTCAGAATATTTTGCACAATAGTCTGTAGCCCGTGAATTGAAAATATCTTTGTCTTGTTTCTGTGTTTTAGGACTTCTCGAGTAAGACCTTGAAGAGGACCCGGAAGTTTGTGGTCGACGGAGTTGAGGTCAGCGTGACCACGTCCAAAATCATCCGTGATGACGAGAAGAAGGACGAGGAGATGAGGTTTCTGAGGTACGGCTGCCAGTTTAAACAGAAACAAACCAAATATGTCAGTGTTGTGGTTTTGCTCTGTGCAGTGGACTCTGACCAGACACAAGGGGCCAGTCCTCAGGGGGAACACGAAATGAGTTTACAGATAAAAATATACTACTTGTGTTTATATTAGAGGGGGTGGTTTAACTTTGAGTTATTGAGCAGCAGGGTCATTTACACAACAAGACATGAAAATGGTTAATAATACTATAAATGATCAGATTTTACTTTAGTAGTTTACTTGTTGTCAAAATAAGTGACCTTTTCAACATACTGCTCCCACCCCATCTAGTGGATATGGTTGGAAATACACCCTGTTCTTCATTTTCACATCGAATTAATTCTCTCATTACTCATCACCTATTATTACTACATTGTACCTTTTACGAATTCTTTTTGATTTCCTCTACCTGCAATTTCATTTTTAACAATCAGTTGTTCATTTGCAAAAAACATAAGGACTGTTTTAGGGAAACAGAGAAGAGGCTTGTAATTTACTCTTTGTAGAATTTTCAGCAGTGATTTTTAAGTGAGAAAAAAAAGAAAAGAAAACATTCCTACTTGAGAGAATCCACTCATTTGTTTAAAGTAACTGTATGATTTAGATTTTGAATTCCATAAACATGACAAACTGTGTCCCCAGATCAGGCATGTTCAAACCAAATATAGATTTTGCTGATAACAATTGTAATACAGATTTGTATTTCATTATAAATAAAATTATGTTGTATTTGGTGTTTTGGTGGAGAAAGGAGAATTGAGTCTCACACGAGTCTCATTTGAGTTGCCAGTTTCATTGTAAGAGTTGGTTTAAACCTAAAATGTCTCTCTGATCTGAATGGTCACTCCATAAACCCTAGAACCTGCACCAGTCATGAATCAGAGCTAGTGCAGCCTCTGCAGCTGCAGTATTTTGTCCATATACTGACAAGAAAAACATGTATGTGTAGTGTAATCAGTCTGCATATAGAGGTGTACCATTACCAGTACTGGCATCGAATATCGGCACCGATCCACGAAGGTTAGCTGGATGGGATATCGGTTCCAAAATATTAGTTCTGCTGTTATCCTGGTTGGACGTAGAAATTGATGTAATAAAACTATTTACTGGTTGTAATGGTCCAGAAAGTCTCAAAATGTTTGAGCTTTTAATACAAAGTTCTTCTATTGGTAAGAAAGAGCTACATAATACATTTGTTTTTTTGTTTTGTTTTTAGGAAAATAAAGTCTGATATTGAGTAGAAGTATAAAAGTATTATCTCTGTTTTTACAAATGAACTCTTCAAATAAATCCATAAATATGAGATGCATTTATCGTCCTTTAAACCGTGTTGTGCTGTGCAGGCGTCAGGAGCTGCGTGAGCTGCGTCTGCTGCAGAAGGAGGAGCACCGCGCTCAGGCCGGACTCAACACCAAACTGGAGTCTCAGAGGGAGCAGATGCAGAGGAGGTTCGACCAGGAGATGAACGTACGTGTCCTACAGGAAGAACCAGTATACTGTGGTGTTTATTACAAGCACAGAAGAGCATATTAACTTAAACCCCCAAATTATTGTGAGAGAGAATTACAGTTTATCTCTTCAACTAAAAGGTGAACTATGTAACTATTTGGTTTGGGGTTGTAATTTCTCTGCCTGGCATGTTCCACAGTATGACATTAAACGGCTCTACCTTACATTTATTCAATTACAAGTGGTTTCATAGCTCAGAAATATGTAGTATAACAGACATCCTGACTGTGAGCAGATCTGATCTGTAATACCATACCTGCATAGAATTACCATTTGAGAAGACTCTTTGGTCATGTGGTCAACATACATCACTGAAGTGTGCCATTACCCATAGACTGTAGTGAGGAAGTGAGCATGGACGCAAGGGTGCATCATTTGCCCCAATGTCAGGAATTCAACTTGTACTCAATTTTAAAATGTGACAACACCAAATAAAAGACATTCTGTGGAATATTAGAATAATTGAATAATTTTTTAATAATATTGCTTATTCAAGGTCCTTGAAGTCTCTAAGAAATTACACTTTTGCCATATCTCAGAAACTAATGATGACTGAGACATAAAACTGGTACTAAATGATACGCAATGTCCACATTTCTATTCAGCTTCCATTGATACTTTCCACTGATACAGCTTAATTACATTTGACGTTATTAAAGAAAACCTGATTTTTCAGCTCAGATTTAAGGCACTAAACTTCAGAGGCTTGTAGACTTGTAGACATCAACAGAATTTCATGAAATTTCTTGGAGGGAAGTTTACTTTAGCAAGTGTAATTGATAAAAAAAAAAAAAGGTACTAGATACAGACTAATTTTCCACGCTTCTGGCTCCATCAACCCTGGCTCCAATTCAGTTTGTATTGAAAAACCCCTGTTTCCGTAACTGTTACTGTCAAGCTCCTCAATTTGATTTTAAAATGTTCGTATTAACCCGCTCCACATGATGCTGGTGTTTTTATTTCACTATTTCGTCCGTAAATCAATTGCTTGCCCCTCTAACTTCAAGCCGATGAGCTTCATTTGACTGGAACCAAACACTAAATCTGACGTCACACTCCCTTAGTCCACTTCTTTACAGTCTATGGAACTCTTTCAAATAACATTAGTTGAAATAATTAAAGTAATAATAGTAATAGTAAAATTATATATATTACGATAGTCTGAATTTGTCTTGTTTTCGAGACGTGACTAAATCCTTTGTCCCTGTTCAGGCCAAGAAGAAGCACTATGACGTGGAGCTGGAGAACCTGGAAAAGCATCAGAAGCAGACCATCGAGAAGATGGAGGCGGACCACCAGGTGAAGCTCAAAGATGAGACCAGGCGCATCAAGACCGACCAGGAGAGGGCCTTCCACAAGTTCCAAGACCAGATGAAGCTCAAGAAGAAAGAGGTACACAGCAGCACAATATATACAACTCAACCACTTGTCCATAAGTCCGTTTCATTCTTGTATTCATAGTTTGGTCTTTTCTGAAATATGAATGATCCATAACTTGTTTAAATGTACTCTGCTAATTGCAATATTACAAATTTATTTAAAAAGAAATTAATGAAGCAATTAGATTTTTCTTAAAGCCACAGTATGCACCTTTTTAGCCAAAAAACCTAAATAAAAGCATGTTTTTCTTTTTGGTTGTGTTTATTGCACTGAAAATCCAGTAAAAAGATGCTTCCCTATGGTGGCTTGTCTCTCCACAACCCTGACTTATTTGGCCTTGTTTCCAGGGAAATGATGTTCCTTTGGTTGTAATAAAATGGCAAAAGATTTGTCGCCATTGGGAATGTTCTGAAGTCTTGGCAAAGGAGAAATTCAATTAATGAACATTGTCCAGTTGACAAAAGTTTATAAAATAAACTTTGTCCAGTTGACAAATTGAATTTCTCCTTTGCCATGTGTTCTGCCTGGACGACTGAAGGATTTTTCACACTTCTGTAGTATGGTTTTAACTTTCTGTTTGGAATCATGCAGTTCATTTCTTCATCTTCAGAAAGTTACACCATCACTTTAAATTGTGCAGCTTTATCCACTTTATATTACTCACACATTTCCAATGCCCTGCCACACATTTATGAAACTCTAAAAATAAAGAATGAAGTAATTACTGTACATAAAGAGGCAGGGGCTCAGTTGATTGAACCAAAAACCAAAAAGTTGCTGCTCCCTCTAGTGCAAATTATCCCACTTTGTCTTTGATGAGTGTCCACTGAAACACAACTTTAAACTAAATGAAAATAAAAGATGCAATATGCAATATTTTAGTTTAAGCAAAAACATTTGAACAAAGGTAACACCGTATATTGTATTAAATGTTACTTCTTTGTGTTTGTAGGTCAAACAGACCGTTGACAAACTGCCCAGACGCTCACGCAAAGAATCCATGAAACAAGCCATGGCCAGTTACCAGGACATGAAGATCAAAGAGGTATGAGTTTAATGAAGAAAACTTTTTTTTCTTAATGTGGGATCCTTTGTTTAAAGTTCTTTTGGTTCTACAGGAGGACCAGTTTCTGGCCAATCAGAAAGAATACTTGGACAAAACGCTAAAGAAGATCATTGCTGATAATAAAAGGGAAATTGCAGAGAAGGAGAGAGAGTGTCTGAACAAGAAGCATGAACTCATAAGAGGTAAAAATGTGTGTTTTTTTTTGTTTGTTTTTTTATATACTTACTTTTACAAGACAAGAAGATCATCATTATAGATTATGTTTATTGCAATCTCCGATATTGATTTAAAGCAGCTTAATAATCAACATGGGACTCTGGACGTCCTGTTCCAAACTAGAGGAGTGACAGACCCCGCCTCTTCTTCAGCGTTTCACCATAGCCATATATTTTAGAATTCTACATATATCACTTTGAGCCTTTCTAATAGTTGCAGTCAAGTACAGGAATGTGGGCGGGGACAGGAGGTGGATAAAAGCAGGATTTGTCTAAGCACTCAAACCTCAAATGCAGGACCACTGTTTTAACAAGATTAAAAGCTCATAAAGGTTTGTTTTAGTTTAATATACAGCGTCTAGAGCCTTTATAACTGTCTTATTTGGATGATCTCCAGAGCGTGAGGCGACGATGTGGGAGATGGAGGAGAGGAACCTTCATGAGAGACACCAGCTCCTGAAGCAACAGCTCAAAGACCAGTACTTCCTCCAGAGACATCAGCTCCTCAAGAAGCACGAGAAGGTACGCACATGAAGACGGGTATTGTTTAAATATACTTCTGTGATAAGAAGTCAGGGTAGTACTTTAAACTTACTGAAAGTGTTAACATCAATAATGTTACAGAAAATGCGATTCTTCCGAGTTATGTTATAGAAAGATTTTGTTGCTGGTTGTTGTAGCAGTTCCAGCTCAAAAGCACTGGTGTTGCTCAAATCATTTTATGGGAATTCACGTCTAATCTGTTTTAATGGTTCCAAATGATTTAATACTGCATAAGTCAAAAAACTAGCCTGATTCATCTGCCGGTTTTGCTTCGTGGAAACCACCTGACCTCGCAGCATTAGGATTCGTTCGCTCGATGGTCCAAGTAATTGCCGGCACAACAGCAAGCAAAGCAGAGAGTGAACATGTCTGTCAATAATCAATGTCGTTAGAAGTTTATTGATAATGTACGAAGCGGGACAGAGATGGCTGGGTTGAGACTCTAGGTGGGCGCTCCGTCTCAATCTTCAGTTGGCCCAGCCGGTACAGGACCCTCCTTGTAGAAATCTTATGACTGGAAGACAAAATAGGGGATGGGAGGGTGGGGTCCAGTTAGCCGAGACAAACTGGGATGATGGGAAAGGCTGCTACATATAGGCTGGTGGGAAATTAGAGGTGTGGTTGAGGTGAGTTGTGGTTCACTTGTAAGTGGAGAGGGGGCTGAGGCGTGGTCCTGCTGCTGAATCTCAGTTAAAGGTTGTATGGAGGATTTTTTAAAATATTTTTTTCAAATTGTCAATGAAAGTTCAAAATAGAATTATAAAGAAGAAGCAGCCTTGTAATTATGATGACCAAAAAAAAAAAAAAGAAAAGAAAAATCCATCAAGTGTGGACGTAGTGAGGGCAGATAAACATCAGCCAATAGATAACAAGGCTATCTCTTTATCTATTGGCTGTTAGGTTGTCAATCAAATTCCCTACTTTTCTAGCGTCGCTGACTTGCCGACGGGCTGGGATTGTGTGGTTTATGTTCGCGGTTCATGTTTAGCGGTTCTTGGCGTCTTTTTTGAACTGTAGCTCTCAGTTTGCACAAATTTTGTTTTAATGGCAGAGAAGAATTCACGACCGGTTTGCCACAAAAGAAAGTCAGTTTTTTGACGTTGCTAAAAGAAGAAGAGAAGGGGAAAAGGTGCGAAGCGCAACATTTAAAAAAGGACAAACAGTCGCTGCATTTCTCTTTCCTTGGAAAATCTTCTATACAACCTTTAATCATATGAACTACATTTCTGCGAGGTGAACTTGTGAATTATTGCAATAAAAATGCAATAAAAAGGTGCAATAAAAAAAGCGAAGTTTGTATTTGACAAAAGAAGTCCAAGGGAGGATAGTGTATGCAGTCTGCTATCACAACTCGGGTTGGTTTAGCTCTTTGCTGATTGGCCGGTGTGTGGTCTACAGCTTCCGGGGTTCTTGCAAACCGTCTGTTAGGTTTATCTAAACATTAAAAACAAGAAAAAAGACAAGAGATTAATTCAGTTTTACTCATGAGGAGAACGGGCAGAGAGTGGGCATCAAAACCAACACGTTCTGATGCCTCAAGGCCGCTCTCCTCTTTTTATTTCATTAGGAGGCCCTAGTTACAGGATGATAATTCTCAAGGGAAGGGGAAACCAGCAAAGACATAATAAGAAACTGGTGCAGCTATGCATAGTACAATCAGGAGGTGCCTTAGGTATGGTCAGACACCATCATAACTCTTGCATGTGTGACAGTGGGAGTTGGCTTCATGTGAGGAATCATCTCGAGGTTCACTAGAGCGATAGGACACTGCACACAGTTGTCAAACACAGAGAGGTTATTCAACAAGTGACAAGTGATTGTACATTATAAATCAAAGAATTGTAGTACATAAATGGTTAACTCATAGGCCTAGAATATCACACAAGTATTTAGCAAATATGGGATAATAAAATTATTCTGACACCGTCTAAGTCAGGAATCAGAATACACTAGTCACTGGATAGAAATGAAATTGAGCAGAGACACTAGGTGGCGCCAGTCTGACTATCAAAAAGTACAAGGTACATTTAGGTAGTTTGGTAAAACATCCTACCAATGCTAACTGCATTATTTCAAATGGTGATACATGTTATATAATATTACAATGTGTTATTAAAGGTGCCATTGTGTAACTTTTTGGTTGGGAGTCAGTCACCTGCTTGTTTCTATGGATACATCATTGCACTGCCTGTAATGTTCCACAGTATGACAAACAGATCTACTTTACATTTATTCATTTACAGGTGGTTTTATAGCTCAAAAATACCCAGAAAAACAGGCATCCTGACTGTGAGCGGGGTCGCCTCTCCGCAGATCTGACCATACTGTGAAACATTTCAGACAAAGCAATAACATCTCCACGGAGAAACGTGTGTGACGAACTCTCCTCCAGAAAAGTTACACACTGAATTTGGTTTAGTTTTTACATTTTAATGAAGAGAAACAATATCTTCTTCCCATGTGTAGGAGCAGGAACAGATGCAGTGCTACAACCAGAGAATGATCGAGATCCTGAAAGCCCGACAGCAGCAGGAGAAGAGCCGCCTTCCCAAAATCCAGAGGGGCGAAGCCAAGACACGGATGACCATGTTCAAGAAGAGCCTGCGCATCCAGTCCAACCTGAGCCCCGCCGAGGAGAGGGAGAGGATCAAACAGGTACACAAAAAAAAAAAAAAGACAGCGTGACCAGTTTTAGTTATCAGAATACTAAATACACAACTTTGGCTTTGTGCAGTTTTCCGCACAGGAGGAGAAGAGGCAGAAGGCCGAGCGGCTCCACCAGCAGCAGAAACACGAGACTCAGATGAGGGAGATGATCGGCCAGTGTGACAGCAACATCCGAGAACTGCAACAACTACAGGTACTTAAATATAACTCGAGAAGGCATGTGCAAAAATACCAAAATATTGTATCGTTTAATATGATCATATTGGTGGTATTGATATCGTGGGCTGCTGTATCAGTTTATTTAGTATTTTTTGGCGTCTTTTACTAAATTACTTTGTTTTAGAGCTACAGTTATGTTGCTTGTTTAGTGGAACGAAACTCGGTTTGACATTTTCATTTGATTTGATGATTAAAATGGGTGAAAATGCGCGTTGTTTCATATTCACTTTACTCAAGAAGTGGTTTAACAAAGACTTGATTGATGATTTAGTCATTATTTTTTATCGAGTCGATTTGAAATATATTGTATCAGATCTTGAAATTTAAATACGTGTCGTATCGTGGCCTATGTATCGAGGTATGCATCGTATTGCCAACTTCTTAATGAGCCCTAAACTTAAGTATTATTCAAAGTACACTAAGTAGTATACAGTATTTTTTTTCAGAGAATTACTGTCATATTCCAGTTACTAGACTACTAGCGTTACAACTATTTATTCTTTGCGGCTGAGGTCATCGTCATTGAGGCTTTTCTGATCTGTGTGTGCGTTTGTTTACAGAATGAGAAATGTCACCTGTTGATCGAGAATGAGACTCAGAGGCTCAAGCAGCTGGACGAACAACACAACCAGCTCCTGAAGGACTGGAGGGACCTGCTCAAGCCCAGGAAGAAGGTACGTCTCCTCTCAAATATACTCTACTTCAAAGTACGTCAAAAGCTCTGCCTATGCCCATTACTACTCGTTGGCTATTAATATGTGGTGCCTAAATGTAAAGGACCCATATCATTTTATTTTCTGGTCAATGTTATTATGTTTTTTCCACAAACAGACCTGGAGTTGTGTTTTGTTTCATTCACACATGTTTAACACACAAACCCTTGTTATGACCCAGTTCGGCTAGGGTCGGGGAGGAAATAAAACCCAAGATGGAAAAATTGTATAAATAATATATTAATAATTGCATAATATTGTAATCGCATCTTTCCAAACGTCTTCCTAGTTTGTGACGTAAGCGTGAACGGAGCCTGTTAAAACACACAAAACAAATCAGAGAACTGGAGGCCTGGACCCTAACACCCTCTGTATTTAGGAATTCTTCTCTCTAAACCAGGGGTGTCCAAACTTTTTTAATAAAGGGCCACATATGGGCCCGGTCAAGCAGAAGTAAACAGCAAGGCCAAAAATTCAAGTTAATGCATCTGATATAAAAATGTATTGAACAGATACATATGTACTCTAGTTTATGAAACTGTTTACCTTTTTTCTGTACCATTTTTGGTTCTAAAGTTTCATACGTTTAAACAGACCATGTATGAAACATGGAACAAAAATTATTTCCCAAATTTCAAAGACCTGCAAATCATGTAAATAAATGGATGTATTTCATCATATCTTGTGTTATTCCATCTTTGAACTGTTGATGAAGGTACATGATTAAAAAAAAAAAAAAAGTATTTAAAATGATAAAAATTTGCTTGGAAGGACTGACATATTTTATAAAAATAGTTTCCTTTCATTTTGAAGTAATATTAAAGTATTCGGAAGAAAAAAGTTGACAAATTATGCAAAATCATGCACCTTCTACTTGTTTGCACAATTTTCCCTCCGTTACTTTTCCCTCCGTTACCATGACCTTTCTTAATAAAAAATCTCATTACTCAAAAAGTAAGAGGTTTTTCAACCTAATCTTGTACAATATGGTAGAAAACTATATGAAGCAAATATTCAAACCAGTTTGTTAAGGATATGTAAGTGAGAACCAAGAGTTATCACTGTTTGTATTTATTGCCCAAAAAGTGCTGCATATTTCATTCCCTCCGTTACAGACATGAGTTTTTAAATTTTTTGTCTTGAACTTGAAAGAATATCACAGGTTTAACTTTACCCTGTTGGAGTGTAACTCTTTCCTACATTCTGATACTTTACTTATTTCAATAGTCCCTCTAGTTTCTGAATAAGAGCTATTTGAATGTAAAAAAATCTTCCCCTGTTTCCCTCCGTTACCACTTGACCTGGACTCATATCTAAACACAGAAGAAGCAGAGGGCCGATCGAGGGCCGTAGACTGGTGCTCAGTACAGTGATGAATCATCAGTCTTTATTCATGCTAAGATCCTTAAAACCACACTCTAAGTATTAAATACTAGCTTTATCAAGGTAGATTTTCAAATACGTAGTTTGGACATGCCTGCTCCAAACAGAAAACACTGTTTTTAAACTCCATACACATTCACTTGAATCATTTGGATGATTTCAGATCTGAAATTTCACATCTCTACTGACAAAAATGTAAAAGGTAGAAGCTCACTTGAAAACTACCACTTCATGACATCACCAGGTGGAACAGAGCGTTTTAAGCGTTGGAGATGTTGAAAGAATAATAATATAGGATTACTCAAACATGTTTGAATGAAACAAAACACTACTCCAGCTATGTTTACATGTGGTAATAACATAATAACACAGCTTAAAACTCACATGACTCAATTTTGTATAATTTAGGACCTTTAAGAGTTCTAGATCTGTATTTATTTCCTTATGATTTACCCTAAAACAATAAAATAACCTCTAAATATGTGTATGTGTGTCGCCCTCTAGGCCCTGGAGGATGAACTGACGCTGAAGAAGCACGAGCAGGATGTGTTTTTCCGGATGAGCGCCAGCACAGACTGCCCCAACCCCAGCTCTCCCACCAAACTCTCCAAATTTGTGCCTTACCAAGACTCGTCCTCCATGTAAAAAAAAAAAAAAAAAGTACAAAAATCACTGCTGCACAAAATGGCCACCGGTAAAACAATGCCACAATGCAAACTTAAACAAAATCCATTACAGTTTTACAATTGATTTAACTTTCCGCAGCTTAAGTTAACTAATTTTGCTTCACTTACTGTCAGTATTTTAAAGTCCCTTGCCTGTTTTCTGCCATCGTAAAAATTGGTTGGAGTTTTTGCACAATTTTGTGAAGAGATGGCGGCGAGCACTTTTGTTAATTAACACGTCTTCCGAATTAATATGAAAAAACGTCAAAAATCGAAATATCGGCGTACCATGTTGCGTTGTTTGCGCTCGTAGACAAACCTAATTTCTAGTTTAGTTTCTATTGAGTGAGCTGCCAAACCTGCTTTATTTATTTTAACCACGCATCACTGTAAAAATTAATTTAATCTTTTAATGAATTTCTTTTAAAATTTTATACCTTTTTATTTCGAATGGGGGATGAGTCCTGAATCCAAGTTGTTGTGTTTTTTGGTGATTATTTGATGATTAAATTTTAAGGGAAGACGTCGTAAGCTAGAGTTATTGTTTCTTTTTTAATATATTTTGTATTTTACTGTAGATCAGTCACACTGGATGAGAACTGACCAAGCCAAAGTGAATATACTGTTGTGTTGTTTTGAATGGGGGTTTAAAATCTGAATCTGAAGGCGCACCGTGGGACTTTTTTGTTAGGGTTTCCGCCATCTGCTTCGTGTCTCCATGAAAATGTGATCAGTTTGCCTGCAGTTTTCCATAGTATTGCATAAATGTCTATCAAATAGCATTTAATTTTTTATTTTGTTTCTCAAAATACCTAAAAAGGCCTGCTGTATTTTTCGGAGTATAAGTCGCACCAGCCAAAAAATGTGTAATAAAGAAGAAAAAAATATATAAATTAGGTATAAGTTGCACTTTTTGGGCGAAATTTATTTTAGAAAATCAGAAACAAGGAACCGACATTTCATCTCGAAAGCAATATCATCCAGCTGCGGACACAAATGGGCGTTCCCGTGTGGGTGGGGGGCTCCGTTCCTCATAACGTGTGTCCAAAGGTCGCAGCTGGACCCTTCTCCTTGAAAGTCAAGTTCTAGTAATAACAATAGAAGAGAGAACAACAGACTGTTAACGTCACATATGAACAGTTTTTCAGATAAACTATAACATAAACAACAGAACAGAACAAGTTTAACAAACTCTCCATCTCACTCCAAATCGCTAAATCCATTCAATTCTTCATCCTCTGTGTCACTTCTGAGCAACTCCGCGACCTCTGGAGGTAAACAGAGCGCCGCTTCCTCTTCTGTGTCGCTGTCGTCAGACTCAGCATCAGTTCCAGTTAGAATTATTCTGGCCTTTCTGAATCCCGACAGGATGGTTTCAGTGTCACTGAAGTCCAGACTTTGTCCATCCATCCAGTGACTTCAGGAAAGTTGCGTGGCGTGAAGCTGTGTTCTCCATCTCCGCTTTCCGCCAGTTCCTCCCAAGTTTTTTGCTCACTCCAAACTTTCTTTCTGCTGCTCGATTACCGATTATGGCTGCAGATTTCATTGCTTGCAGCAGGAGACATGTGCAGTAGAGTGAAGTGACAGTGGTGCAGGAGTAACAGGAGCAGCAGATACTGACACACAAGACTTGAGCCTCTCACAACTGTCAGTGTGAACGTTTTAATATATAAGTCACAGGAAACATCCAAACCATTGAAAAAAGTGCAACTTATAGTCTGAAAAATACGGTATATTAGACTTTTTTTTTTAATCTATATTGTAAAGTTTCCTCATCAAACACCTGGAGTTGTGTTTAGTTTCATTCACACATGTTTAACACAGTTCTTCTCCCAAACACTCAGTTCCACCTTGTGATGTCATATGGTTATACAGGAAGTGCTCCACTGTGTTTTAAAACTCCATACACCTTCACTAGGTTCATTTGGATGATTTCAGCTCTGAAATTTTCGATCCCTACTGAACAAAAGGTAAAAGGTAAAAGCTGTTCACTTGAAAACTACCGCTTCATGACATCACAAGGTGGAACAGAGCATTTTGAGCCTAATAATAAAGGATTACTCAAACATGTGTGAATTAAAGAAAACTCTAGGTGTGTTTCTGATGAGGTAACGACATTCTAACATGGTTTACAGCTCACAAGAATCCATTTTTCATAATATTTTTTGCGTTTAAAACCAAAAAAACGTAAATTCTTATTGTGAGCAGGGTCGCCTCTTCGTAGATCTGGCCTGTAACTTGCTTATCTCCTTGCCAGATAGATAAGTTTAACGTCATATTGTGAAAAATTCCAGGCAAAATCAACAACGGCTTCACGGAGACGAGCAGACGACGCATTCTCCGCCCAAAAAGTCCCGCAGCGCACCTTTAAAATGTATTATTATTTGTGTTTATGATGTTTTGTGCGGTAAACACGCTTCCTGCTAACCAAAGTGCAATATTACATGTGGTTTTCCGGAGGTTTCTGTCTTCTTAAACTGTGCCTTTCTTTGCACTGATAGTTCTGCTTAAGAGTCTACGTGTAATTTAAAGCAACAAACGTAATTTACACATTTGTCAATATTGATTTTATTTTATTTTTTTTCTTTTTGAAGTGTTCAGAGACCGTAGACAGGTCCGCAAAGGTACAGTTTCTTTCTCTCCGTGTTAAATTCTCCCTCCGTCTTCCTCTCCGTGTGATAAAATGTGTTTGAAGGGGTTGAATGAGTGAATGAGAATCATGAGAAGGAACCACTGTTGTAAATAAGTCTTAATAAATAAATACAGATTTTCTAATTTTACTCGTGCGTTTTTTTTGTTGTTGTTGTTGTTTTGTTTTGTTTTCTGGATGATGGTTGGTATACGAGTATCTGTGAAAACTCTGCCCCCTTGTGGTCAAACAGGACAAACATTAACCTTGAAGATGAAACTAAAATGTGCATTGACCGTTTTACCTTTAAAGATTTGGAATAAAGTGAAACTTACCGAGAGACACTTGAGGTGATGTATGAGGATAATAAAACTAGTTCAGACTCAAAAAGTGTGAATTGTTTGCATGATAAGAGGTGGGAAATGTAGCCTAAAGAGTATTGTTACTTCAAAATATCACTACTCATTACTTCATTTACAAAAAGTATTACTAAATGCACAAAATATTAGTAGTAATTATGAAATAAGGTATTAAGCTACTACACAAGTAAGAGTAATTGTAAAATTTTCTGGACGGATATTTAAGTGATGAATAAAATGTTGGTATTTTCAAACATCAAACATCTGAATAAGCAGCAATAAATGATTTAAAGACCAAACGCTTTATTTAAGAAAGAGTACTACTGTTACACTGTAAAATATATTATTCAAATAAGAGTGAAGTACGCGTATCCTATACACCAGGGGTGTCAAACTCAAATTCACAGAGGGTCAAAATTAAAAACTGGGACTAAGTCGTGGGCCAAACTAAATATTTATTGAAAAATTTCACCAACATTTGCATGTTTTCTCTTCTTTCGAGCTAAGTAATTTTAAACCTTTTCTTATTAAAATAAATGTTTAATAATAGTTTTGCTTAAATACTGAATCCAGAACAAATATAGTACAACATTTTAAATAAATCATGTCTCTATAGTCTATCTGTAGCCGGCGTGCAGCTCTAATACATACTTGATATGATATCACAGGTCAAATATAATTATATCACGGGCCAAATTTGGCCCCCGGGCCTGAGTTTGTCATGTCTGATATATACAATACCTGTGAAGTATATTGTGCAGTGTAGTTGCACCACCAGAGGGCGTATGGCACACCTCTTTTATTCTATGTGGGTTAAGTAGTGTTTATTTATGTGGATTAAGTAGTAAGACCAGTCTGAGACCACAGGGTTGTGAGACCAGGTCAAGACAAAGACAAAACCGAGACTTTTAAAGGTCGAGACCCAGATGAGACAGAGACCTGGGCCCATCGAGACCAAATCAAGACTATCTTTATCATTTCCTATATTTATTTGTATTTTGGTACATATATATCAATGTTTTTAAAAATCTATCAACATTTGATCTGGTTAATGTTCATATAGGCTTAAAATAGGCTAATCAAACTGTGCTGAACTTAAATGCCTCTTTTTTGGACCCAGACCCACAGTTGGAGAACCCCTTCTTTATTCCAAATCTTTACCTTTAAAAATTTGGAATAAAATGAAATTTACCGAGAAACAGCTGAGGTAATGTATGAGGCCAATAAAACTAGGACAAGCTCAAAAAGTATGACCTGCAATTGTTTGATAAGAGGTTACATAAATTACAAAAAGTATTACTAAATGCACAAAATATTAATAGTAATTATGAAATGAGGTATTAAACTACTACACAAGTAAGAGTAATTGTAATACTTCCTGGACAAACATTTAAGTGATGAACAAAACTTTGGTATTTTCAAAGGACAGACCCCAAACATCTGAATGAACAGAGCAACAAATGTTTAAATCATTTATTATTGTCAAAAAACAACTACAGACCAAAAGCTTTGTTCAAGAAAGAGTACTACTGTTACACTCTAAAATATATGATTTGAATAGGAGTAAAGTACGTGGTTTAAAAACGGGAACTACTATGTTTAGAAAGTTTGCATGATTATTAAAGGCTATAGACGTAACGGAGGAAATGACACACCCAAGTAGAGATTTTAAGTCTCATAGCCTGTATCACAATACCTTTGAAGTATATAGTGCAGTGTAGTTGATATATTGCACCACCAGAGGGCGTATGGCACATCTCTTTTATTCTGTGGATATTGAATAGTGTTGTAATCGAGACCAAGGCCAGTCTGACACCACAATGTCAAGAGACCAGGTCAAGACCAAGACCTCTGAGGGTCGAGACAGAGACAAGATCAAGACTTTTAAAGGTCAAGACCGAGACAAGACCGAGGCCATGGCCCATTGAGACCAAATCAAGACCAGCGTTGTCATTTCCTACATTTATGTGTATTCTGGTACATATATAACGTTCATATATATCAGGGGTGTCAAACTCATTTTGGTCCAGGGGCCGTATCCAACCGATTTTGATCCCAAAGGGGCTGGATCAGAAAACTCATGTCATATAAACCCCAAAAATAACAATAAGTTCAAATATTTGTGTAGAGAAACACAAATCTATTATAGAAATCTTTTTTAATTGATGAACTCTTTCTTTTACAAAATATTTAAGAAAAATACAATTTCCACACAATGTTTTAACATGAACTTGGATGTAAATAGGAATAAGTAAATTTTTGTTGTAAAATCCTGCACTCGGCTCCACTTTTCTCATTTTTGACATTTTTCTGATGAGGGTGTCACGGTCAACAGTCAAAACGATCGTCCTTTAAGAGCGTTTGGAAAGAGACAAGTCTTCATTTGTGCTGCTCTGGTGGGAGGGGCCACGTACAGAGACGCTGGAGACGCTGCTGTGATAAACACCACAGAAAATTAACAATATTTTAATAAAAATCAAATTAAAATATTTTAGTAGAAAATCAGCCACGGGCCAGATTAAAGGTCTTGGAGGGCCGGATCTGGCCCCCGGGCCGCATGTTTGACACCTGTGATATATATCATTGTTTTTATAAATTTATCTCCATTTGATCTGGTTAATGTTCATTTAGGCTTAAAACTGTACTGCACTTAAATGCCTCTTTTTTGGACCCAGACCCACAGTTGGAGAACCTCTTCTTTGTGTTTATTTGTTTATTTGACACAGGGACAACAAGTGCAGAATTTTTGCATTTACCTTAACAGGAGAGATGCATTGTACATCAGGTTGTAGCATCAGTGCTAATTTCCACCTGTCGTCCCTGGACAGATTCATTGATTGATTGTATTTAACTGACCTTGACTATCAACTGTTCTTGGAGACCTGTGACATGTTTTGGGCTTCTTTAATCCCACATACACTGGCATTTTAATGAAACAAACTTCAGTTAATCAAGTGAGTTTTTTTCAAGTTCATAACATTTAAAGATACATTAACTTACTGATTTTGAGTGATATTTCGCAGCGTCTGCACATTTACATTTATTTGTAATGAAATATGTTCACACTTGTCGAGTGTCAGACCTCAAGACAAGACCAAGACAAGACCAAGACAAGACCAAGACTATAAAAAAGTGCCCTCAAAACCAAGACCGGCTCGAGACACTAGTATAAGAACCACAGTTGATGCTTATTACTCTACTTACACACTCACACATCCAGCTATTCATTGAAACTAACAAAGTCTACATACATAGCTCTTTTTATTACAGCCTGTGTCTACAATGCAAAATCTAAATATATATGTTATATCAAAAAAACACAAAAGACACACACAGACGTTGGAAAAAATGTCTTTGTTTATTGGCTCGAGTAAAAAAAGAAGATGCAAAGAAAGAAAGTATAAAGCAAAAGCACATTTAAAACAATACAATACTGAAACTTAACATTATCTGACAATGAACTTGCATTGAAACAGTCTTTGGCCAAAATAAAAGCCATTTTACAGACTTGCTAAATCCTCTTTTTTGGTTGTTTTTATTATTTTTGTAACATGTGTAGTGTCATAAGGTTTAGTAAAGCGACTAAGAGCAGAACACGTTAACAGTATTTAAAGTTAATATCAGTGTTACCACTCCCAGCCTTGTCGGATTGTGTAGCGCTTTGAGTTCCGTGTGTGTTTGGACAGACTGGCAGTGGATACATGACGGAAAAATGAAACAAAAACCGAACCCTGCAAAACTGAATACCTGTATTATAGTTAGAATTACTTGAATCATGAAAGGTGCATGAAGTAACTAAGCGTCCACTTGTCTCCGTAGAGATGCTGCTACTTTGACTTGAAATGTTCCACAGACACTGATGGGAAGAATACTTTGAAAATATTGCCTGTTTACAGAATACTATATACTGTATTTTGTAATTTGTTCAGGTACATGGCTCGATCAGAGTACTGTATTCAGAGTACTTTTACATCATGGACAGTTTTACTTTTGTCGTACTGTTTGTTATACTTTCATTTATGTCTAATTAATCACATTTTCTCACTTAATTCTGTGGAGTCCAAACCCAAAACTGCAGATGAAGTACTGCCAAGTATTCCTTTGATTCTCGAAAAGAAACTATATTCTGAATACTGCCAAATGATAAAGTAACTGTATCAGAATTATGGAAGCACCGATTCAATACTGGGATAAAAAATCAGGGCCGATACTGAAAAATTAGCTGGATGGAATAACGACTTCCAAATATCAGTTCAGCCAATATCCCGGTTGGACATATAAATTGATATAATAAGACTCATTACTAGGAGTGTAACGATATCCAAGTCTCACAATACGATATTGTCACGGTATGAACCTCACGGTACGATATTTATTGAGATATTATGGGAAGGCTCATGGTTATGGGGCTGTTAAACCTTGACGATTTAGCCAACGTATGCTGACGTATGGAAAATTTGGAAAATACGCTGGCATAACGTCGGATAAGTTCTAGGTAAGAATTTCATGTGTGCTCATAACTTATACAACTTATAGGATGTAACTTTCCTGGAAGTCACTGGATGAATCGACAAAGCCTGAAGTTCAGTGACACCGAAACCATCCTGTCGGGATTCAGAAAGACCGGAATAATTCTAACTGGAACTGATGCTGAGTCTGACGACAGCGACACAGAAGAGGAAGCGGCGCTCTGTTTACATCATGGATCTATGTTTTATCTCCGGAGGTCACGCAGAAGTAACACAGAGGATAAAGAATTCAATGGATTTAGTGATTTGGAGTCAGATCGTGAGTTTGGTAAACTTATGTTATGTTGTTTATGCTATAATTTTCTGAATAACTGTTCATATGTTACATTAACATATTAACACCTATTCAGTCTGTTGTTCTCGGTTCTATTTTTATTAGTATAACTTGCCTTTCAAGATGAAATGTCGGTTCCTGGTCTCTAATTTTATAAAATACATTTCCCCAAAAAGTGCGACTTATAGTCCGGGGCGACTTATATATGTTTTTTTAATTCTTCATTCATTAATTCATTTTTTGGCTGGTGCGACTTATACTTACAGTCTGATAAATATTGTATTCAGAATGTGCATTTTCAGCACATGTTTAAAGTTTCTTCCCAACACTGTGGCATGGCAAAAATGTTTCTACCTTGCATTTAATAATTTACATGTGTTTTACGACTCACACATAAGATAAGATAGATACGTTTAATGCCATTCTGTGGAATATTCTGGGCACAGCAATACCATCTCCATGGAGACGAGGAGGCAAGTTAGTTTGTTTAAATTTTACTTCTTTAAACACATTCTTTCTTATCTCTAGAAAAATGTTCCAGTCAGAAATGTTTTGAAACCAGTAAAACATTCCAGTTCAAATAAGAAATGAAGCCTCACACTGAAAAAAAAAAAGACTTACATTTTTATTACTCTTCTAAAGCCAAGTAATTCTAACCTCGATATTCACGTTTCGCAGTGAACAAAGCTTTGCCCCTTTTTCACTGAAATCCCTTCATCGAAAAACAAAGTCAAACAGATGAAGCATTACTGAAAAGCTAGGACTCTAGTTACTGTACAATAAAAATATTTGGATGATATTTTTTTAGCTTGAGACCAGTCAAGCTTTTCTGTCAAACTATACTTTACATAGAGACGTCATCCAAGCACCACTCTTTACAATACTGCTGATCATTGCACTTTTCATTCAATGTGATTCTCCCACACCTGGTCTAGCGAGGCATGCCACATTTTCCAATTGTTGGGCTTTATGATGACAATAAACATATTTTACATTGTCTTTACATTTTGTTCAAGTCTGAATATTACATTTTCAACATTATTAGATTTAGGGTATACAAAAATGGCTATATATACGATTAAAATAATTGTAAAAATGCACTGTGGCATTCTTCCACCGTCCTCCTACAAGTGCAAATCTGATACATTAGTAATAATATAAAAATATAAATGGCAAAAATAACATGTTATATATAGAAGCGTGTCTACTCGGCAAAGGCATCTTGTAGCTCTAAGTTAGTAAAGTGAACTACCAAAAACATGTGCAATCTATAGTTTTGTACGAAGTCGTTTGAACTCATCGGGGCCCCCAAACTCCAATTTCTGTTTTATTACAACTGCTGCATATTTTGTATCTTTATATTGCCTTTAAGAGATAATTAAAACAACTGAATCCACTGAAAAAAATGCACAGAAAACTGAAATGTATTGGCCAAATAATCCATAGTGACTCTACCAGTATTTGTAAAACATAAAGAGGAGGTATTTTACTTTTACTTGACTAAAACGTAACATATTGAGATCACCATGTTCACCTTTTATTGTCCCCCACGCCAGTCCACTCTGCTTTTGCTCCTTACGCTAAGTCGCTCCCCCTTCAGAGCGCTATCAGAACACTAACGAAACTACTGCACGTCGTATTTGTCACGTACACGCTGCAAATTTCTCTGATCTGGCCAAGATTTTAAAAGTTATATCAGGTTGTTCATCTTGTTTTCAGAGTTATTATCGACTTGCTAGTTCTGAGACTGTTTAATTCTTGTCTAGAGGTTGTTTATTTTAAGATAACTTGTCAAATGTGTGTAAAATCCCTCTGTCGTCCAGGTAGAATCCAATGGCAAAAGGAGAAAATCAATTTGCCAACTGGACAAAAGTTTATTTGGTCGAATACGTTCCGCAGCTCGTCCAAGCAGCTTCTTCAGTTTAGGACAAAATAAAATTGAATTTCTCCTTTTGCCATAACTTGTCAAGTGAAATGATCTTGCTGCATGGACAGATCATTTCACTACTTTTAAGTCATTTTCTGATAGATTTAAGTGTTTATATCTTAAACTTTGGCCAAGCTTTTTGCAGTGAAGTTGCTGAGTTTAGTTTTGTATCATGTTTTTTGTATATTTACGGAGAGTTGTCTGGTGGGAGCATGGATGATGTAGGCTTGAGGGCGGAGCTTTGCACAGAATAGTTCAAATAGGGCCCGGGAGAGATCGCTGAATTACTCAAACATGCGTGAACATAAATGGATTACATCTAATGTTTTGATAAGGGAACATCGCTATGACCTGGTAGAAGCTCAAAAAATTATTTCGTATAATACCCCCTCTTTAAAATTCTTTCCTGTTTTTCCTTCTTCTCACACCGTCCAACACAACCCAATACAAAAACACCACCCAAACACACACTGTGTCCTGGAATCGAACCAGCAACCAACTAAAGTACTTACTCTCTCTCCTTTAAAAATCTGAAGTTTGCCAATTAATTAACCAACTTTAAGGACAAAGCTTATCTAGGCCTGTAACGATAATCAATAAATCAATTAATTGTACAATAATTTTTTACAAGCTTGATAACTTTTCCAGCCGTGATACATAATTTTTTGCAATTTATATGAATTTTAAACTAAATTGTACTTAAAAAGTCATTATATATTTATATATGAAAATAATTTTTTGTACATTTTTCCTTTTTAAATGTCTTGACAGGAGAGCAAATTATTACAGTCAGAATAGAAAGAGTTAAGATTCAAGAGTGTTTAATAACGGTTAATTTGTCAACTAGTCTAAGCATCAAGTCTTCTCAAGTCACAGGGCGCAAGTCCAAGTCAAGTCCCAAGTCCATTTTATCAAGTCAAGTCTCCTAAAAATAGTGACTCACGTCTGTCTCGAGCCCAAGTCACGACTTACAGACTTACAAGTCCCCAACTCTGATGAGTAGAGCACAGGATATTCTTATGTTAACAAGTCGATTTTATTTAGGCCTATTGTTCCTGGTTGTCTTGCAGTTCCTGTGTTAAATGTTCTTTACAAGATAAAGTGTATTGATCTTTGAGAATGTATATTTGCATTTTTATTCCATTGTCATTATATTAAAGAAAATGGTCCCAAAATGTCGATATTATAGCTTATCACAATAATTTCTTGATCAATTAATCGTCCAGCAAAATCTGTTATCGTTACAGGCCTATTTACATCCTCACATTCCACCAACCAACCACGAGGTGCCAAAATGAAGCGTTACTCTATTAAAAAAACTATGGTAGATGACTGTACTTTGGGATCTGTAAGTGACTTTGAACATCTTTTACTTGGCATATAAAACTGTCCCTACGCAAAATGGCCGCTGACACAGACAACACCTACTACAGAACGCACCGAAGCACTTTGCATATAACATTGAGGCACGGTATAATAGAAGGCATGGGGAATACATATACATGGATTGAACAACGGCTGCTACTATTACTGCAATAAAAGCAAGTTTCCTAAAAAAAACAACTATAAGATAAGTAAACATAGGACTAGACAAGGCGAAGTGTTATTGCTATACTCTGATTAAGATCATCCTTGTCGACATAAAAAGTACCTATAAATACGCATTACTACACAGGACTACGTCAGTTCTCCCATTAATATTACATTAGTTCAGAACACGCGAGTGAAATGTTGTTTTTATAACATCTGAGTTTCTGGTCTACATCGAGTTTTGGCAGTTTTTGTTAGTTAAGCCAGATGCTTTTCCTAAAAACTAAAAATCGATCCCCTATAAAGGCACTGTACCTGATTTTTACGGTCTTGACAAAGTGAAAAAACGCAGACCTACTTCATTTTAAACTATTTGTAGTCATCCGAAGTTATTCCTCACTTTCCTAAAACATCGTTAGTATCTCAATTATTCACAAAGATTAGGCTTGTTTTGCAACTTTCAGAGACCAAAGTGGAGTTTTTCCGGCTGGTATGACCGTTTGACGTTTATAACCATTTACGCTAACAATAACTAGCATGCAAACAGTGCACCAACCTTATTTCCTGGTTTGTGGGCGATAAAAATACTTTATAATTAGATGCAGAAAGCACAGTAAGCATTTAAACCCTATAAACCGGGATTATGTTGATTTTGTTGATTTTGTTTATCTTCCTAAATCCTACAACAGCCTAGACTATTTCACTCTGAGCGTACTGAATCTTTATCCCTTTAAGTTGAACAACTGAAAAAGAAATACTTGTTGATGTCCACCTTTGTACTTTTCTTATTGCGATGATTTGACCCCCCAACATCCACTCCTTAAGGTTTCTTGCTGAGGTAATTCGAGGGGATCCAGCCCTCTACCTCCTCTGCGACATTTTTACAAAACCACCACCCGCTGCTATTCTTCTCCAGTACCTCAAACACCGTACCTATTTTAAACCCTGACGTCTGCTCATCGCCTTCAAAGTCCGCAACGGCCAGGTACAGTTCATCCTTACTCGGCTCCTTCAGCAACGGCGGCAGTTTGGCTCGGCGGTCCAGGCTTGTCGCTTTTGACTTGCGGTTTCGGTGGAATGGGTACTTTGTTCGCTTTGGGTTCGTCCTTGCTTTGGGCGAATCCTTTAGGTTTGGGAGGAGGCGGTCGACCCATTTGGGGAACCTTGGGGCCGTCTTCCTTGAAAACGGGCGCCGGTTTGGATTCGGTGGGACTCGCCGGGTCGGATTTCTTGGGAGGAGGGGGTCTTTTGGGTTGCATGGCGGGAGGTCTCTGGGGAGGTTCTTTGTGCGGGGGAACTGCCGGTTTCGGAGGAGGCGAGGAGGTTCGGTCCTGGCTGTGACCGTTGATGTGTTTAGGAGGGAATTTCGGCGGTTCATCGTTGGCCTTGTTGTTCAAAAGAACCGGAGGAGAGCTAGTGGGCGAACTCGGCTTAGCTACGCCGTTGCTTTCCGAAGACGAGCCTGGATCGGAAGCTTTCGATGGTCTGAGCTTGCTTCGTAGATTGGTGATATCCAGTTTATCTTCTGCTGGTAATTCAGGTTTAGCGGCTGGGACTGGTTTAGGTTTTACTGTTGGTTTTGGTTTCATGAATGCTGGAGGTGGAGCGCTTTCCTGCTTCTCCTCTTGGGAATCTTGTCTAGGTTTAGGAGGCTGTTTGGGCACTGGTTTCAAATTAAACTTCTTGACCTCTTTGGCGGAAATTTTGTGACCGCATTCCAGCCCCATCTCGTTCCGAAGGTGAAGGGCTTTGCTTTTGTCTTCCTTCTTTGGCTCCGCCGGTTTCTCTGGTTTGAACGGAGGCTGCTTCGCGCCAACTAGTGGCACGATGACGCCAGGTGCAGGGGGTTTTGGAGGTAAAGGTTTAGACATGTCAGATTTGGTCTTCTCCGCCACCTCCAACTCCAAGCTCTTGTGAATGGACTCTCTTCTAGGCGGCAGCGCTGGTTTCTCCTCACTTGGGGGCGCTGAAGGAGCTGGTGGTAATGGTCCTCCGAAAGCAGGAGCCTTATTGGTTTTCCAGTCTCTCAGTTTGGGTCTAATGAAAGACTCGGACGTGGTAGGCTCATCAGGTAATGGTTTAGACCAGGTATCGTCTGTAGTGGAGTTGACGTGGTTGTTGTCTTCCATAGTGAGACGCTCCATTTCGTTGGGCAAAGGCGCGAGAAAGTTGGGTCTCAACGCATTACTGGTTTTCTTGTATTTGTCGATGAAAGTAGCCGGAGCCCAGCCTTCTTTGTCGTCTATCTGGATGTACCACCAGCCACTGCCATTTTTCTCAACAACCTAGGACAAAAAAGTAGTGTTTTAGTCAAGCCGGTGTGTTGGGTGACACTTGTGGCTGCTCAAGAAAATGACGATATGATCATATAACATACATATTGTTGCAAAACTTATAATTTTATGGTCAAAATGTTTTAGAACACCACTTTTCCAGTTTTTTACTGTTGACCAAAACATATTCTGAAACTTTTGATTCATGAAAGTGTCCACCTTTGGCAGATCTAACAGCTGAACACACTCGTGACTCATTCTTTTTACAATAGAAATCAAATATTCTTCAGAAAGTTCTTCCCAAGTCTGTTGCAGAAGTGCCCATAAATGTGCGGCACTTGTAGGTTGCTTCACTCTTCTGTCCAGTTCA